CTGAACCTGCCGCTGAAGGTTCTGAACCTGCCGCTGAAGGTTCTGAATTATTGTTAAATCATTAAACAAAATATTTGTTTTAAATTTTAGATGAGGAAACCTTTGATCTTTGAAAAGTTATGAAGTGTTGAAGAATAAAACGTTGACACCACAAAGTTTTCAAGCTCATTTGGACTTGGTCCCAGTGAGCAGGACCAGAACTTGAGCAGGTTTTATCTGGACTTCTGTTCCTGTCCGTCTCCCTGCAGGTGGGGGGTTTTCCTCGCGGTGGCCCCGGCCCCCCTTTGTTACCTGGTGGAGGCTTCAGGCCATTCTTCAGTGGCCCCCCTCCTCCGCACGGCCACAGGATGGGCCCGCCTCCTCTTCACGGACCCCTCAGTCATGCGCCGCCGGTCCGGCACAACACCACGCACCTCCACCCGCAGCACCGCCGAATGCTCACCCAGCGCCTGCAGAGCCGAGGAGGGTCAGGCCCTGTGGTTCTGTTAGCTTAACGTCTTGATCCAAACGGTTCTGAGGACGCCACCTGAGGTCTGTGTCTGTCCCTGCAGGGACCGTGTCAGGACGGGACTGGACCGGGGCAGCAGGGACCCCTACAGTAACCTGATGTCTCAGAAGGAGAAGGAGTGGGTCACAAAGATCCAGATGATGCAGCTGCAGAGCACCGACCCGTACCTGGACGACTACTACTACCAGGTCAGACTGGGCCCAGTTCCACCTGTCAGCTGGGGTGTTTCTCAGAGGTGAGAGCTTGGTCTCATGGTTCCGGGTCTGTTTGGGTTTTCTTGTAGAACTACTATGAGAAGCTGGAGAAGCGTCAGGAGAAGGAGCGAGACAGCAGCAGCAAGAAGGAGCACGCCACCAAGCTCATCACGCCGCAGGTCGCCAAGGTGGAACATACCTACAGGCCCGGTAACAGCCAGCAGAACCCACCTGGAACCCCAGAGATACTCCCAGATGTTCTGACAGATGTGTGATGTCTGTCCACAGTTCAGTTCGCCGGCTCTCTGGGGAAGCTGACGGTGTCGAGCGTGAACAACCCCAGGAAGATGATCGACGCCGTGGTGACGACCCGCTCCGACGATGAGGTCCGTTTACGTTTGTTTCCTGCAGTTTGTGTGAGGGTTCTGCTGCACGGACTGAAGAACCGAACCCGTCAGTGGGTTTTCGTTCTGTGGAGGTTTATTAATAATAATCTGAATTATTCTCAGCTCGTAGCTCGTTCCAACAGTTCATGACTGAAAACGTTCGGCTCATTCATTCCTGCCCCGACTTCTGTTGTTTGTTCAGTTTTGACTTTTTGACACGTTTAGCTTTGTCGGCCATGTTTCTCTCATTGAAATGAGTGGAGCTCTATTCAGCTTTTTCTACACATTTCGGCTATTTTTCAGCTGCTTTCAGCAAACGTCAGCTGTTTAAATTCAGCTCTCATTAACCGTTCAGAGAAGAAACCGTTTCAGCAGATGTCATTTTGACAGGAAGTGACGTGTCTCCGGTTGTTTTTACTTCCTGTCTGCAGGAGAAGAGGGAGAAGCAGGTGTGGAACAAGAGGCGACAGATTCTGTACACTGTGGAGAAGGTGAGCAGAACCGACCCAAAACATTTCAGCTCTTTAGATTTAACCGTCATCTTTGTGAAAATAGTAGAAAGGTTTTAAACGTGAAACGGTTCTGGTCGTCCTGGTTCTCCTCCTGCAGATGTACACTCTGCTCCTGGAGGTCCAGGACTTCGAGAAGCGTTTTGTTCAGACCCCGGAGGAGGAGCGCCAGGCTCTGCTGGAGCAGCACAAGTCCAACATGGAGCAGCTGTGCGGCTCACTGAGGGAGAAGGAGTGGGACGACAGGTGGGTCTGAGGCGGGGCGGGCTCAGGTTCTGGTTCTGGTCCTAACGCTTCATCTCCTCCTTCAGGGTGAGTGATGAGCTGTGCGTGATGATCATGTCAGTGAGGAAAGGCAAGCGGCTCATCGCCAGGCTCCTCCCCTTCCTGCCCTCAATGCAGGCTGCTGCTGTCGTCATGGCGATCGCTCGCAACCTCCCCACGTTGGCTAAGAAGGACAAACAAGAGCAGGTGGCCATCTTTGTTTGTTCTAGAACATGTTCATGTGTATAATAAAGGTATAAAATAAATAAAAAGATTAATAATAAAATTTACATATTTCTAATTTTTCAGTTTGGTTGTAAAAGGCATGTTTTTAAATATTGTTACTCTTATTTTTAAACTTGTCTTACTTGTTTTTATTTACAAAAGAAAACCATGAATACCAAAAAAAAGTTAAAATTAATTAATAAAATATAAATGAAAAGATGGATGTAGAGAAAATAAACTTTACTGACAAAGATTTATTCAAATAAATGTATGCTTTAACATTTCTCTGGATATTAGTTTAGTTATAAATTAGTTGTTTTTTATTTCACTTATTTTCAGATTCAAGCCATCTTTTCCCTTGATTTCATTATTTATTGATGAGTTTTAGTTCAATTTATTTATCGTTATCGTCCGCATGTTTGACGTTAAATAAACCGATGTCCTGAGTGTCCGTGTCTGTCTCACCTGCTCAGGTGTTGTCCTGGTTGGTGGAGCCGGTTTCTGCTGTCGTTCAGTTGCTCTCAAGCTCCGCCCTCACAGATCTGCTGCAGGAGCTGCAGGGCGGCGAGGGACAGCTGGCTGCAGTTCTGCAAAACAAGGTAAACAACAACAACCGGTTAGCTTCAGGGGTTCTGATGGACCGAACAGCAGACTGGTTCTGGTAAATCTGTTTGTGTTCAGTTCGGCGTGACGCTGCTCTACCTGATCCTGAGCGAAGGAGAGAGGATGCAGAGCTCCGACCCGAACTGTCAGCTGATGGACGACAATCGATGGTGAGACGTCCTCCTCCTGTCCCCACCTGGGACACGACCTTTTGTCTCTGACCTCCGTGACCTCAGACCTCTGTGTTTGTCTCCGTTCAGGACCGAGCTGGTGTTTTCTGTGACCAGGGAGCTGCTCGGCGTCCCGTCTTCATCCCTCTCCCCTCCCCTCCTCACCCCACCCAACCTGCTGTCCCTGTTCTCGCGCTACGTGGACCGACAGAGGCTGGAGCTGCTAGAGGACAAGCTACAGTGAGTCCAGAAAACCTGTAGTAATCAAAGTGAATTAGTCTGAGGGAGTTGGTCTAAGTGAGATGGTGTGAAAGAGTTAATCAGAAGGAGTTAGTGTGAGCAAGTTAGTCTGAAATAGTTACTTTTGGTGAGTTGGTCTGAGCGAGCTACACTCGGAGAGATCTGAGTTAATTAATCTGAGTGAATTAGTCTGAGCGATTTAATGTGAGCGAGTTAGTCTGAGTTAATTTAAGTTAGTTGATCTGAGTGAGTTGGTGTGAGCGAGTTAATCTGAGTGAGTTGGTGTGAGCGAGTCAGTCTGAGCAAATTAGACTGAGAGTTAGTCTGAGTTAGTTTCAGCAAGTTAATCTGAGCAAGTTAGTCTGTTAATTTAAGTTAGTTGATCTGAGCGAGTTGGTGTGAACAAGTTAATCTGAGGGAGTTAGTGTGAGCAAGTTAGTCTGAAATAGTTACTTTTGGTGAGTTGGTCTGAGCGAGTTACACTCAGAGAGATCTGAGTTAATTAATTTGAGTGAATTAGTCTGAGCGATTTAATGTGAGCGAGTTAGTCTGAGTTAATTTAAGTTAGTTGATCTGAGCGATTTAATGTGAGCGAGTCAGTCTGAGCAAATTAGACTGAGAGAGTTAGTCTGAGTTAGTTTCAGCAAGTTAGTCTGAGCTATGCAATTCCAGCGAGTTAGTCTGTGCAAGTTTGAGCAAGTTCATCTCAGCGAGTTAGTCTGTGTGAGTTAGTGTGAGCAAGTTGGTCTGAGCGAGTTACACTCAGAGAGATCTGAGTAAATTAATCTGAGTGAATTAGTCTGAACGAGTTAGTGTGAGCCTCTTAACCCAGTTCTTAAATCTCAGTGTTTAATAATCTGTTGTCTTTTTCAGGATCTCTGCTTCGTCCAGGTAGAAGTTACTACGGCGTGAGCACGACTCCCCCAAACAGTGCAGAATTATGCGTGTTCAGTGTGTGTGCGCATGCGTGCGTGTGTGCGTGTGCTGGCTCTTGAGGTGAATCCATGGTGGATCGTGATTTTGCAGCAGAATCTAGTCACTTTTTGTTTCTCGGTGTTCTCTGTGTGTGTGTGTGTGTGTGTGTGTGCGTGCGTGCGTGTGGACGACTCACTTTGTGAAACGTCTGAATTATGAAAATTAAGTCTGCATTTTTAAATACCTTGTTTACGATTATGCCTGTGATAAAATTAAAAGTATTTCTATTATACAAGAGTGTTTCTGGTCTTCGTGTCTTTAAATGGAGACTCCAGTCGTTCTCTTCTGCCCTCGTGATGTTGGAACTCGGTGTTTAACAAAATAAAAACTGCAGAAACTCCTGAGCCCGTCTGTCGCTGGTTGAATTAAAAACTCACAAGAATATTTTTAATGAACAGCCACGCCAGCCGGTTTAGCATTTATCCACCCTTTGTGCCTAAAAGATGATGAATCTGTTTTTAGTAACGAGTTCTAAATCAGATCTTAAGACCCGTCATTTGGTATTTCACGCCCCACGGTGGGGACGGGGGGGGGGCCCTGCTTCGAGAACAAAAACTACATTACTAATTAAAAAGTATAATTCTATTATGAACGTCCTCAAATTGTGGCCTGCGATCCACATCCGGTCTTAAGTCTGGACTCCACCCACTTTGCACCCTGCGGTGAAAAGTAGGAGTTTGAGCAGCGGTCTGCTCCGTTTGGATCAACATGGCTCCAAGTTCGCCAGTAAAAGAAAGGTGGACAGTGAAAACGGGCAGGACTGAACAATTTGTTTTAGTTTTAGTAAATTGAGAGGTTTTGGGCTGTTAGGAATGAGCTACGAGTGTTTCTGCCAGAGCAAAAAAGTTCATGGAATTCCTACAAAATCCAGAAAAGATTGAAGCTGTTTCATTTTTGGCTGATGTAACATCTGAGCTAAATGTGAAGCTACAAGGGAAGAACACTGAGCTGATATCAGCTGCGCTTTCCAGAGAGAACTGGAGGTTTTACAAAAGTGACCTACAGGTAGGCTGTTCAATGTTTTACACCACACATCTACTGAACCATTTCTGATTTTTAAACCAAACTTAATCTTTTATTTTTCAATCACAGGGAACTGCTCCACTTCCCAAAACTTACGGATTAGACCAAAGAAAAGAAAGATCATCAGCGTAACGATGAATTTGTGGAGAGGCTGATTGAGTATTTCAAAATCTGCTTTGATAGCTTCACATTTTGAAAACAAATCTATGTGGCGCCGTTTGTAAAGTTACAGTCAAAAATTAACAGCAATATTTTGTTTTATTTAGCCTTTCATAAGGAAAAAAAAACTTTTCAAGTCATATTTTCACCATGTCATTCATGCATTTATACATATCATGGTTCCAAACTAAATATTTTGTTTATAAACTAAATACTTCGCTTGTAAATTAAATAATTAGTTAGCAAACTATATTTAGCTCCATACTAAATATTTAGTTTACAATCTAAATGTTTATGTCCAAGATAAATGTTAAATATTTAGTGAACTAAATATTTAGGTGTAAATTAAATATTTAATTTCCAAGCTAAATATTTATGGTCAAAGGTAAATATTTAATTTCTAAACTAAACATTTAATTCCCAAACTAAGTATTTAATTTGCTAACTAAATACTTAGCTTAGACCTAAATATTTATTTTCCAAGATTAACATTTAATTTCCAAAATAAATATTTAATTTGCTAACTTAATATTTAGCTCGGACCTAAATACTTGTTTTCCAACCTAAATGTTTAATTTCCAAAATAAATATTTAATTTGCAAACTCTATTTAACTTGCAAGTTAAATATTGAGTTTGTAAATTAAACATTTAGCTTGGACATAAACATTTAGTTTGTCAACTAAATATTTCGTGTGGAACTAAATATTTAGATTGTAAATTAAATATTTAGTTTGGAACTATGACATTTATAAATGTATGAATATGAAGGTGAAAATATGACTTTGAAAAAAAAAACTTTTTCTTTTCTTACGAAAGGCTAAATAAACCAAAATATTTAATTTTTGACTGTAACTTTACAAACGGCACCCCATACAAATCCTATTGATTTTATTTTTTTGTTAAATTGAAAAATACATTTTGAAATATTTATGCAACTATTTAAATTTTTGAATTCCTCAGTTCCTTGAATCATTTTAGACTTGCACATTTTGTGGCCCTTTGTATTAAAAAGTATAACCCCTCCTTATATTTGTTTTCTATTTTTTTTTCAGTACTTTCTTTTTCAAGTATTTAAATTTATATTTAAATTAGAATGGCAGCTTATTTTTCACTTTTTTTTTAATTAAAATAACACTTTTTTTTATATACACGAGTGATCTGGCATGTGGCTTAACCAATTATAATAAATGGATCTTTGTCTATTTGAAGTGTTTGTGGACCTTCAGCATTTTTATATATAAATAATTTAACATTATTTATGTGAGGAGCAGACTGCTTTGAGTTTAACTCCAACGCAGAACTCTCATCTTGAGCAAGCATGAAGGCGACAGTGGAAAGGAAAAACTCCCTCATGAGGAAGAAACCTTTAGCAGAACCAGACTCAGGACAAGCGGCCATCTGCTTCAATTGGCTGGGTTTGGTAGTAATAGATACACAATGGCAGGTCCAGAATCACATGTAATAATTTCAAATTCAAACCATTCAATTGTAACAATTCATTTTAAGAAAGGAGGTAAATTTGTTCTAGTAGTCTAAGCCTATGGCAGCATAAGCCAACCCTAACTATAGGATTTATCAAAAAGGAAAGTCTTAATCCCAGTCTTAAAACTGGACAATGTGTCAGCCTCATGGACAGAAACTGGAAGGTGGTTCCACAAGAGAGGAGCCTGATAACCGAAAGACCTTCCTCCCATTCTTCTTTTTGGAAACGCTAGGAACCACAAGTAAACCTGCAGTCTGAGAGCGAAGTGCTATGTTAGGAAAATACAATAAAATCTATAATATAAGATGAAGCTAGGTGAGGGCTTTGTAGGTTAGAATTCAATTCTGTATTTGGCAGGGAGCCAATGGAGAGAAGCTAAGAAAACGTAGGAGATGGTTGTGGACTTCAGAATGAACAAACACCTTCCCCCCTGAACATAAGAGGATCTGTGGTGGAAGTGGTCTCCAGCTACAAGTACTCAGGTGTGCACCTGAACAACAAACTCAGCTGATCAAGAAAGCTCATCAGAGACTCTACTTCCTCAGACATCTGAGACGAGCTGGTCTGGGAAGCTCAGTCTTCACCTCCTTCTACTGGTGTACAGTGGAGAGCATCCTGTGCTCCAGCATCAACGTGTGACATGGAGGCTGCACAGCTGCAGAAAGAAAAGCTCTGCAGAGAGTGGTGAAGGCTGCACAGAAGATGTTGGAGTCAGCCTCCCCACCATCACAGACATTTACACCTCCAGATGCAGGAAGAGAGCCACCTGCATCATGAAGGACCCCACTCACCCAGCACACACACTTTTTGCCCTGCTCCCCTCAGGAAGGAGGTTTAAGGAGCATCAAGTGTAGAACCACTAGACTGAGGAACAGCTTCTACCCTGAGGCTGTTAGATTCATGAATCTCTAACTAGAATAATCACTGTGAAAAAATCACATGGTGTTGCTGCTGATCTGTTTGATGTTGCTGCTGATCATGTTTCTGTGTTCATGCATGCTCATCTGCTCACATAGACTCATGTTCGTGCTGCTGTTCGGCGCATTTTGTTTATATGCTAGTGCTTAGTGTATATTTAGTTTATGGTTTTTTTTGTTCATATCTTAGATCTTATCTATATACTGTATTTATTTTACATTTTATTGTTAGATGTAACTGGGACCCTGTGTTCATAATCTCGTTCGCACCGACAATAAAAAAACTCTGGCTGACTCTGACTCAAACTGAAACGATATGATCTGTAATGTTCTCCCGCAAATCTGAACCAAAACAGAAAAAACTTGCGCCCGAACAGGGACTTGAACCCTGGACCCTCAGATTAAAAGTCTGATGCTCTACCGACTGAGCTATCCGGGCTCTGAGTACAGATGCATAGATTATGTTTATTAATTCCTATTCTGGTGTCTTCGGCTGTTACATCCTGTCTGGTTGGATGAAAACCGGATTAAAGCTATAGAAACGCATGAAAACCAAGTAAACTGTGGTGCATTCGCTGCGTCATCCATCTTTCTTCTTAACTCGTTAGCTGATCCCCGTTAGCCAAAACAGGTAGCACTTCCGCTTTAGTGATTCAAAATAAAAGCACAGTGAAATTTGTTTCCCTGCACTGATTCAAACTTAACGATTTGATTTAACTCCACGTGTGATCATTTCATGATTAAACTGTGTTGTGCCAAAAAGTGATGGCCTGCCAAAAAATTGATTGGCGCACACTCGCTGTTTCAGTTCTTCGAAGCTTAACGAGATTAACACACAATTACACAATTATTTGTTTGTTCGAGATCATAGCGAAGGTGTGTCTCTGTTTACCTTTTGCTCATTAATTTCACTTTAATGGTAACAAAAAAAAGCTTAATTTCGCCTGCCTGCCAAAGATCGATTACGAACTGTTAAAAATCGACTGGCCTTTCTGCGCAGTTTACATGCTCTCCCCCGGTTTTCTCCAGGCGCTCAGGTTTCCTCAGCATCACGTCAGGTTCTTTCTTCTTGTGTTAGCTGTTCCCTCTTCACTTGTTTTTTCCCATTAACTCAGCCTTTATTTATACAGATAATCACTTTGAGCCTCGAAGACTCATTTACAAGTGAGATCTACTTGGAGCACTCAGCTACCAGGTTTTCAGCGCCTTTTTTTGTTACAAGGCCAGGCTGATTCTGGCAGATCCTGATCACCACTCCATGGTGAGTTCAGGTTGCTTGCACCTGGACGCAGGTATCTGCAGCCCAGATGTAGGACGAACAGACTGAAAAAGTCATTCATCCCTGCAGCGATCAGGCTTCTCAACGAAAATGATGATTTCTGTTATTTTAATGTCTCAATGTCTTGTTTAGTATGGATGTTTCGTGTGCCTGATGACTATGAAACAAATTGCTCCTTATGGATAATAAAGATTCTTGAACTTGAGAGCTCGAAATTCACATTTCGTCTGTGCAAATATAAATGGTGTGCACTAAAACATGCAAGCTGTGACAGGTTCATGTGATTAACACGTGCATGTTTGGTAATGAATGCTTGTTGTGTGTGTATTCTCTTGTGGAACTGTGGGCCGGAAGGCCTTACAATCCCCAATAAAATACTCACACAGAGAACCGTTCACACATAACATGATCTTCACTTTGAACATGTGCAGCAGAGTAATATCTACGGGTTCATTCATGAGACTTCTCTCTCGTTCTTTATAAGGCCAGCTCCACATATCGACCCAGTTCGGAGTTTTTACAGCACCGGTCCAGTAATGAACAACACGGGGTGTGGTGGTGATATCTGCTTGAAATAATGACAAATATAGTTGGTTGATCCACTACGAGAAGGTGCTGTTTATAAGACTGAGTTTGTTGCAGCTCCTCAGACTGAAGAAGTCTTCTGGATAAAAGACGAAACGTTTCAGCAAAGAAAAGTCCGTCCAGAGGATGACGACTTAATCTTGTGATCATTATTTCTAAATTTGATAGAAAAACGTATCTGACCCACAGGTGTCACGACGGTCTCAAAGGGAGGAACACATGGTTTCTCAGTACTTGATAAAGTCAGGAGACCAGAAGGAACAGCTCCATCTTGGCCCACATGTCACACCGTGGATGTTATCAGTGGACCAAAACCTAAATAAAGTTTGTTTACACTGAAAAAAACAATAAAAATATAAAACGTTTGACAAACATAGCTTGTCAACGAGGGTCCGAGCACTGTAAAAACGTTTTGTGATTGTAAACATGAGTAACAATAAAGATAAATTGTGTTTCAGTTTGTCAAACGTTGAAGGACGAGCTCAATGTTTTATTTTGAAGGCATGCTTGATCAAACCGGAAGCTGTTTGAATTATATTCCGGTGGATTATATGACAAGACCACGTAGCTGCGATTAACAAATTATATAGGAAAAAAGAACACGATTTAATGTTTCAACAAAATGTTGAGATTATTAGATCAGGCTTGATTCGGAGGTAAAAAATAAAGAAGATGGCGCTTTTTTTTAACAGCAGCTAATGCTAGTTTAGCTTCGCTCTATGCTCGTGACTGAGACTAAACCTGTAAAGGTTGAATATAGAATGAATAATAGCAACGTGCTCGCGCTAGATTAATGGCTGTGAGATTTCCGGTTTATTAAACACATCGGAACAGGAACATAAATAAATCATGATATGAAGCACAGCCATATAAATCAGGTCTGAGAACTTTCATTAGATCTTTTGTCTCGCTATTCAACAGGTGGCTCCGTGGCGCAATGGATAGCGCATTGGACTTCTAGTCAAGCACTTGAGGAGTGATTCAAAGGTTGTGGGTTCGAGTCCCACCGGAGTCGCATTTTTTTTTTTTTTTTTTTTGTTATTCCTGTTTTACAGAAATGAATGATCAGCTGCACACTGCGTGACTAAAGTCAAGTAAACGTTAAATGTGGAATGGAGAAAAGGCTTGACGGAGTTAAATGTTTGTCTTTCCTCCAGCAGAGGGAGCCTCCAGATGTTCTCAGGTCAGTGCAGCTGCAACGACCGGACACCGGCATGCAGACCCAGGAGGCAGTCAGCGGTTCTGAAGGGTTCAGTCCAGTCGGACCTGCAGAGACATTCAGACATCATGTCGGTTCCGACATGTGTTTTTCTCCTCCAGCTGGCTTCATCTGTGGCGGTAAGATTTATCATAAAACCTTTAAACTTATTAAAATTGAGTTTCAATATTTAAATATATACAATACATGTTTTTATATATAAATGTTTTTATAAACTTTTTAAATTGTAATCTTGTTTTAGGTATTAATATAAATTCTGTTATAAACTTATAATAATTGTTTTATATAAAGTTTCTTCTGTATGTTTTTCACGCTCCTTCAGCTACTTTCAGCTGTTTCAGCCATTCAGGCATCAAAATGTTCTGCTCCTTCAGGCTCTTCGTTCACTTTTTATTTCTTGTGTTTTTGAACTAATAAACTTTATTTACAATTATTTCCTAATCAAAACAAACAGAAAATGTCACATTGAGAATACTGCTGTATGATCTAAACTCTGATCTTTAACTACTGTTGTCCTCAGGTTGTCTTCAGGTTGTCCTCAGATTGTCCTCAACTTGTCCTCAGGTTGTCTTCATGTTGTCCTCAACTTGTCCTTAGGTTGTCTTGAAGATGTCCTCAGGTTGTCTTCAGGTTGTCCTCACACTGTTCTCAACTTTTTTAATTTGTCAAAGGAAAAATCAATATAATCCTGAAAAGCTAAATGATGAGTCACCAGTTAGTTTTATGAGTCAGCAGTTTGTTTTACAAGTCAGCAGCTTTTCTGATGTCAGAAGTTTGTTGAGTCCGCCGTTTGTTTTACGAGTCAGCAGTTTGTTTGACAATTAATCAGTTTGTCTGATGAGTCAGCAGTTTGTCTGATGAGTTAGCAATTTATCTGAAAACTCAGAAGTTTGTCTGTTGAGTCAGCAGTTTGTTTAATGAGTCATCAGTTTGTATGATTAGTTGGCAGTTTTTTTCTGATGAGTCAGCTGTTTGTTTTACGAGTTAGCAGTTTGTTTTATGTGTCAGCAGTTTGTT